TTTCCTCCACTGGCTTAGTGTCCAAGCCGTAGTAGAGTTCCATGACCAGGCAACTGCCGGTCATATGGGTTTCCACAAGACGTTGACCCATGTTTTCTGCCTATACGTCTGACCAAAGTCTAAGGACTTCGTCAAAGTCTACGTCCAGGAGTGTTCTACCTGCTAGGAGGTGAACAGTGTGAACCACCTTTCGTATGAGTTACTTCAGCCTCTACCTATACACAAGGGTCGTTGACAATCTATCTCGAAGAATTTTGTTGGTTTCCTCTGCCTTTCCACTAAGCGCGGTCATGATACTATCTTGATCATTGTCGATCGCTTCATGAAGCGTGCACGTTGTGTCCCATGCCACAATCGCATCAGCGCTCGTGAGGTCACCGACATCGTCTTTGACCGAGTTGTGAGAGATCACGACTTACCTTAAAGCATGATCTCCGACTGCGCTTTACCAACAAATTTTGGCGACACCTACACGAGGTGTATGGATCCCAGCTTCGCTTTTTATCGTCTTACCACCCTCAAACGGATGGTCAGACTGAGGTCGCCAATAAAACTCTCGGTAATATCCTCCGAAAGTTTATTAGGGATGAAGAGCAGTTAAACTTACACTTAACCCACACGGAGATTGCGTACAATCACGCCGTTTTGCAAGCCACAGGGATGTCGCCATTCTATTGCGACCTCGACTACAACCCTCGCGTACTTGTGGATTTCCTATGACTGTCACAATTGCGCCCAAACACTCGCTGTCATACGCTTGACGCCTGGATCGCCCATATGAAGGTGATTATGAGGCGCACACACACGAGTTTAACCGACTCCCAGACTCGCATTGCCGCACGAGTGAACCGATCCCGAATGGATCATTCATTCAAAGTCGGTGACGATGTGCTCTTCGATGCACGCCACTTGCAGCTCGAAGCGGATACGCTTATCGCAAGTTCAAACCTCGCTTCTTCAGTCTATGCCGCGTCCTTCAGACCGCGGGTTCTAATATTGCAGCTAGTCCGATCAACCTTTGTGTGAAGCTACCGGATTACCTTTGACAAACTCGCGTATTTGATGTATACCACGTCTCCTTGTTGTGTCCTTATCGCAAACCGTCCAAGTGTTTTGCTGGACGCCCTTATGAGTGCGCTCTTCACCTATCATGGTGAATGATCACGGGGAGTTTGTGGTTTTGGACATCGTATCTTGCCGAATTACATAAGATACTCCTTCGTGCATTGAGTACCTTGTGCATTGGAAGGTTTATCCTGATGAGAAGACTACTTGAAAGTCCATCAAGCACTTGGAGCACGTTCGGATGTTGGTGCGTGCATATGACCGTGCTCGTCGTGCTGAGACATGTTCTCCTACTCAGTCGACTGACCCTGTTCCTCCTTCTCCAACTAAGGAGATTGTTGAGGACGAGCCCGTTCCCTCTGAGGCCGTTCTTCAGCAGCAGATGTATGCCTCCACGCGTCCACAACGCACTAGATGATGCCTTCGGCGTCTTGACGATTGACACTCTCATCACTTACTTCAAGTTATCTCCTACCACCGACTCACACTATTATGTACTCCATTATCAACTTCTTCAGGATGTCAGGGTTTTGTGCTTTGCTTCGACATCGACTGGACTCCTACTTCATCGACGTAATCGATCACCTCGACGACTTCAACCACCTTTTCGACTTCAATTACTTCGTCGACTTCAACTACTTTGGACGTGATTACTTCACGCCACCACCCTACTTTGTGCATTCCCTTGTATGTGTCGCATGATGATTCTTACTTAGCTGGTTGTCCATGAGTTGGACTCTCCCTTGGTATCGCATAGGTATTGTGACCGTAGCGTTATTTTGGCTTTCCTACTCTTAAATCTTGCTTCCTCCTTAGTTGGTGAGTTGTGTGCATGTTTCCCTTACCCACTACCCTCATCACCCTAGTGCTGACCATTGCATGCCTTCAGTTAGGTATATCTCCACCCAATCCCAGATTCCCCTTTCATGGTCGATCTTGCATGATGTCACCCTTTTGTCGAGCATTACCTGCCTTGATTGTCTGTCTGTTAGGGTTATTGGTTTCGTTTCGCTACCATTCCCTCGCCCTGAGCCTGATGACCCATCCCATCTCTGTGTGTGACTTCCCTTAGGAGTTTCTATTCTTAGGTTGCATTCACCCCCCTTGAGACCATCCCACTCTTAGTGGTCCAACGATACAACATGATCTTATAGCGTATTGTTATCTTTCCTTTCAACACTGAGGCAATTGCCTCTAGGACTTTAGAGTTGTACTCCGCTACATTTCATTTCATGTTGTTAGCTAGGATGTGTATATCAAATATTTGCTTTTGCTATGATATTATATAGCTTAGGCTGCATCGCATGGACTCCACATGGACGTTGCTCCGCATCATAGATTTCTCAGTTTTATTGTTTGCAGAATTCCGCTGCTTTTGCGGAAGCGTGTTTATGACTCTCGTGATCCACTACAGGTCTGAGGATTGTGCAACGTACCTCTAGCTGCCCTGGCCTAGAGCCAGGGCTATTTGGCTATTTTGCCTGTTTGGCCTGTGGGACTAGGCCGTAGCCTGAATCCACAGGCCGTGTGCTCATTCAATCCAGCCCAGTCCTGCTCGGTACCACTGTCGGTACCAGGCCAGTCGAGTCCAGTTAGTCCGTTGGGGGTATACCCCATCTGCAGTATGTTTTCAGCCTCATTCTTCACTTGCACATTTTGGAGTACGTGTGTGTTGAGTCTGCGTTGGAGCTGCGGCACTGTCCCTTCCATCTCCATCTCCATCTCCCCCATCCAATCCCTTCATCTTGATCTTGACGGACCGCCATCCCAGTGGGTCAGTAATGTAGCAAGGCCTTACGGTAGACTGGCCGAAAAATCGTGATAGTTCCTCGATAGAAGCCCTTATTTAACCACCAGTACTTGGCCCATACATCTGCCATGGGCACTTGATGCCAAACCACCAGTACGTCCAAGGCACTTTTCTCCGATGCTGGAAAGCCTTTTGGCCTGTGGCACCAGCCATTGTGCTCTGGTACTTGAGCCCTGAAAAACGTGGCGTGAAGGGGCCGTGGCCGATGTATTGGGCAAGTACTGGTGGTTTAACGCTCCTACTGGACCACAATGACTGGCTGTGCCAGACGGTCAAAGGAAAAACGTTGCAGTTCGGCAAAGCTTGGTGCACAGGCGTTTGGAGCCCCTGAAGAAAGTGGCCCAGAAGTACTTTTGTTTCATGGACACATCTGAGATGAAAATGGAATGAAAGTGTAAATTTTTCTTTTTTCCCCTAAACAAAATGGCGATGGTCTTAGGGTATTATCGTCGGACTGACCTGCCCAGGTAAATTCAAATCATGTGTCTAATCTGACACGTGGTGGCCTTTTCAGCCCAGGGTGGCCTTATTGCCATCAGGGAACCCCCAGCAGGTGACACCAGCCAGCCCGTAGCAGAGGGATCCAGCATCATCTGAGTGGCCTGTCGCTGTGCCTCGGAGTCCCTTATTGCCCCCTCTCCTATGAACATCAGCAGCGACTGCTTTTTAATGCAAATTGGGGGTGGCCAATGGGCTATTTCCAGGTGGCGGGCGCCAAGCAGGCCCAGGAAGGTACATGAGGCCAATGGGGATTGAACCCATGACCTCCTGCTTGCCACTTGCGTGCCTTACCAACTGAGGTAGCCTGCTGTACAAAAAAGGAAAGTCCAAGAAAACATGGCTCAAATTAGACCATGTGGCTGAAGCATACACACATGTAACTATTCATGGACAGACAGGTCACGAGTTCGAATCCTTAGGGGGATCATATGGATACTAACGTGGCTCGCTCGCTAACCACGTTCCTCAGGTTCTGATTCGTTGCGTCGACTTTTTTCTACTCAGTCTGGCAACTGGTCGTTATCTACTACTACCATTAGGGCATACTCACACTGCGACCCCAAATCTGCAAAATATGCATTTTTTTTTTTTTTTCCCTTGTGCAGGGGCCGTGCTAATCTTTTCTGTATCTTTCCAATTTTAAGAGATGTCCCGAAGGACAATATATTATGGGAAGGGCCGATTTGAGGTTTTGGGCATTTGGGCCTGGTTCCCGTCGCACTGCTGTACCTTTTCAGATGGGACAAGGCCCTGGCCGTCTGGAGCAATGGTGGCGATTTGGTACTGTGCTGGCCACTCGGCACCATCCACAAATTGTGCAAGAACTTTCGTGAACGAATTTTCACCAATTCTCGAAGAAAACGCGAAAAAATAAATAGGGCATTTGTGGTCACCTCCAGAGGTGACCGTAAATTCCCTTGGCCCGCCGCCGGTACACAGGCTGCTGACAAAAAAGGGCACACGAATGGTACATTTAGGACCTCGGCAAATTTGTGTCACCGGTCCTCTACCTTTTTTCGGGGGAATTTGGATGATAGGTCCCAATCTGAGGCACGTGGTGGTCACCTTTTTTTTTTTTTTTTTTTTTTTTGCGCCCGAATGGTGGTGGTGACATAGGAAGAAGCTCGGTCCTGGTGCTACGGGCTGACCCCTGGCCAGTATCGCCCACCTGCTGTAGCAGGTATCGCACCTGGTGGTGGGTGCAGCTCCCGCATGTTCCCTCGTTCGTTGGAGGCTTGAGCACGGATGTGGCTGCTACGCGGTTCCCCGTAATACTATATTTGACAATAAAAAAGGCCTGAAATGCCGTCCTGTCCAGATTCGACAGGTAGTTGAATTATTTGGGCTTAAAGACCAATTTTAACTGATGTCCCGAAGGACGCTGGTGACAGACTTCTCTCTTTTGTTATTCCGAGGTTGTTTTTTTTTTTGTTTTTTTTTTTTTGGGAAAGCAATCAATTCCAAGGTTGTTAGTCACGCATGTTCGTGTGACAGTCTCGCGGGACAGTCGGACAAATAAAAACAAAAAAAAAACAAAAAAGTTCTCGCCAGCGGGACAGTGCGACTGTCTCACCAGCATGACCGTGGGACAGAGTCGCGGGACAGTGGCCAGAAGACGACGAGACGTAACGGTGTTCTCTCTTTCGTTGTCTCTGCCTCACAAACGTTCGTCTGTCCGTTCGTCTTTGCGATTGTCAATGCGATCGGTGCGTTTGGCAGGTACGTTGTAGTGGGGGCGGGGGGTGAGTGATGTTAAATTTGCAGGGGGGGCTTTTTTTTTTTTTTTTTTTTTTTTTTTTTTTTTTTTTTTTTGGGCTTTTTTTTTTTTTTTTTTTTTTTTGTTGTTGTTGTAATTTGCGTGTTGAGTCTTTTGCCGTTGGAATGATTGGCGGGATGGTTTGCTGAGGTGTGTGTTGTAGAACGGCGAGGGAACGCCACGTGTGCTAGAATTTTTTTCGATGACGTGGCAATCCGATTTGTAGTCACATTTTCTAATTTCTGGGCGCCCACGATTTCTTTCTTTCTTCTTTCTTTCTTTCTTTCTTTCTTTCAGAACAAGAGAAAGCTTCATTACTGTGGCCAATATATCTTTTTCTTTCTTTCTTTCTTTCTTTTTTCAGAACAAGAGAAAGCTTCATTACTGTGCGCACGATCTCTTGTTCTGAAAAGAGAACAATTTGGGCGCGAAGTCATTACTGTGCGCACGATCTCTTGTTCTGAAAAGAGAAC